TATTTAAAAAGTTCCCAGTTGATATACAATATTACATTTCTGTTCTGTTGCGAGGTGTTCAACACCAGATTGGTTATGAATAGTATCAGTGGTTGTAGCTGGCACAAATGTTCAACGTGGTCCACCAGAAGACTACCTGGTGCATTTCTGGGTGTGAATTTAAAATACTGATTTTGACCTTGCAAGCCTTCTATGGTCTAGACACCATAGAAAGCTTGCAAGGTCAAAATCAGTATTTTAAATTCACACCCAGAAATGCACCAGGTAGTCTTCTGGTGGACCACATTGAACATTGAGTTGCTGATTCTTTCTCTTTTAAATATAGGTTTATGCTGTCAGTGTGTGTAAATTCAACATTCACGTTGCCTCTCCATGAAACAAATTCTATCTATCTCTGAGCGCTTCCTCTATGAGAATTACAGTATCTGTAGAGAGGAGGTTAACATGGACCTAAAGTTAAAAACAGAGTATCTGATCGATATCTTGGGAAGTTGGACCTACATTTCATTTATCCAATGTGGTTCTTTGAATCAGATGCCATTTTTACCTTCTCTTGAACTATACAGAAAAATGGGGTCAACTATGTAATAAACAATTGTATTATTTTTCTAGTATTAAAGCAAAAGGAAAAATCTATAGCTTACATTACAAAAGTCTGCATTAAAAATGTAGGAGCATAATTCTGTGTATGACTGCTTAGAAGAAAATCCAATGCATTTAATGAAATCTACATCCAGATAAATGTTTGTAAGATCACAGCCGAAAAGCTGCTTTGGGAGCTCCCTGGGAGTTAAAGGAAAGGGGAGTCAACAAAGAATTTGTATGTCAGAGGAGGCATCATACAGCAGGTTGGTTCCTCTGTTTTTCAAACTTCTAATGAAAGTTCAACAATGCACTCTGAATTATTTTCATATGATATAATTATAATCTACTCTGAGTTTTGAATGTATCTATGTATCTTTTTATGCATGTTTTTAATATTTGTTAGTTTAGCTTGTGCTTTTAAGTATGCGTTGAACAACCATGTAACTATGGCCAGCTTCAATTACTATAAGCTTATAGACATTTACATGATGCATACTAATTACATTTTAACAAGTTTTTCACCTTTTTTAAAAAAAAGAACAGCCTGAGTTGTTTTGACTTAATTATTGAGCATATATGTGCAAAAGCATGTGCTATATTGAGATTTTGAAAGGAATGCTGCATTAAGAAACAGAAGAACATGAGAAGTTATAAAGAATACTCACAACATTTATTATTCCTGAAATCTGCACTGGCTCAATGTGCCAGATATTTCTCTTTCACAATGTGCTACTAAATATATAATTAGCTTGTTTTCCATATCTACAAGGTGCTATAACACCTCTTAACCACAAGATTGTAACTGTAGTGGGAAATAAATGAGAACTGAATGAAATGTTTAGATAATTTATATGAGCACTGAAATAAATGAACATGTCTTAAGTTTTTTTTTTCTTAAATCTATTTAGAAATTTGAAAAATATAATCTGTTCCTTTGATTTTATGACAGGAAATAAAAAGAAGACAGCAGGAAATGACATTATGTAAGTGATCATTGCTTGCAATGCCAAATGGAAGAAAATGGACAAATAATTACTGACAGTTGAAGGTAAACACCATTTATTCTAAGAAGTAAGTAAAGATTCCCATGTTGACACACAAGGCTTAACCTTGATATCTCAGAGAAGTCAAGGGGAGATCCATATTTCTACTGATTCCTCCTTGTGATGTGTACTACAAGATATAATTTATCTGGTACAAATATTTCTTAACTATACAAGTGGATCTCAGGGTTATTTACCTCTTCTGGAAAAGCAAGGGATTCTAAAGTATGACACAATTTATTTTTCAAACCCTCCTGTTGCGCAACTGCATTAAAGGCCACTCTATAGTCAACGTTGTGGCAACACTAAGTTTATTTGAATGAGGTTTCCTGTTATTGACTTACAAAAGAGATGAGCGCTTATTTTCTGCAGTTATTTTATTGTTACTTTTTTCATACATTAAGCTCTGCAAATCATCTTTAGTGATACAGCTGAGTTACCCCAAGGAATTTTCAACACATAAGCGGCATCAGAATTGATCAACCGCTGAATCCCTTCAGTGAAAACAGTTTTAAAAAGACAATTTGGTTGACTCTGGGAAATCTTACTGTCTTCCTCTCCCCCACTTAGTTACCTTTATTGGTGTTTAAACCTTAGTGTATTTTTAAAAGTGAATTAGAACTAGGAGCAGAAGGCAATCTAGGAGCTGATTTTCCATGGAGATGCAGAACAATTTAACTATCTCCTCTTCCTATGGATTGAAACGTGTTGTTCCAAAAGAACTACTGTCCAATACCAATAATACCAATAATAATACCAATACCAATACTACTACTACTAATAATAATAATAAAAACACTCAACTAATAACCTTAAAGGTTAATGTTCAGAGTTTTGCTTTAGGGACAAAGCCAGCTGGTTGACCTTGGGCCAGTCACTCTCTCTCAGCCTTAGGAAGCAGGCAAGGGCAACCCATTTCTGAAATCTTGCCAAGAAAACTGCAAGAACTTGTCCAGGGAGTTGTCAGAAGTCAACAATGACTTGGAGGGACCAAAAAAAAAAAGATGGTCACATCACCCATATTCCAAGGGACAATGAACATGGGGTCCAAGAAGCCTAGAGAAGGTTTTTGGGGAGCACAGCAGACCCCACCATCATTATTCACTTTTATTGCAGGTTTGAACCAGTTTCCATCTTCCAATTCTCTGCTAAAATATTAGCTGTTTGATTTTAACATATTTAATCCAGAATGTGCCTGTTTTCAAATGTGACTGAGTTAAGATGCCCCAAAAGCAAAAAACAAAAGAAACCCTCCCCCAACCCTTTGAATAAAGCTTTTGGCATTCTGCAATTTGTATTGTTTATTTTAATGGAAACAGAGCTTCATAAGTGGAAAATGACTAAGATTTCAGCTATTGTTTTATTTCAAGTGGGCAGTTTTCCCATTTTTGATGAAAGCTAAATTTCAAACAGCTTTTCTACTTAAGTAAAAAACTGAACTGTCAGGGTATATGCTTATATTGAGCCTGACATTTTCTTTTAAATTAGTTCCAACATGTGAAAAGGAGAGGACTACTTTAAAACTGGAACAGTTTCATTAATGCTGAAACAAACTCTTAATTGTTGCCACATTGATATTTATCTCTGCAACAGCTGCACAGCAAGTCCTCAAGATAAAGTAGTGAACATTAATAGCTTTACAGCTTACCTTAGGCATGTCAAAGATTATACTTTAAAAATTAACATTAATTTATAATTATTAAATGTTATGGCCACTATCCAGGCAACTGCTTTATACAGATCCAAGAGGTTTCTGCCTTGGAAATGGGATGTTGGCTTCCAGGAGGAAAATAGAACAAACATTCTAAGGCATTCCCATAGAAATAGGACACACCCAAGGTCCAAAACATGTTGGGAACTAAAAGGTAGATGCAATGGGCTTCTCAGAGCCTGGGAAACAAGATGATGATTTGCAAAGCATTACAAGCACAGAACATCTGCACATTCTTCCTTTATCAGGAAAATGTGCAACCACCTCCCTGGGTGCATCAACAGGTGGCTAGCAAGAGGATCAAGAAAACTCTAACATAGCAACGCCAGAGATATATTGAGCGGTAAAGTAAACATATCCAGTTGCCAAGCTTTCTGTAATCCCTTTCCTGCTTCAATAAATCTGTTTAAAGAAGACTCTGAGAATCTTACACTGGGGCACAAAGCCTGCTAAGGACTTGAGAAGGGTCCCCAGAATAATGGTCCCCAACCTGTCTCCTTGATGGCTAAAGGGAGGGGTACAATCTGACGCACAGCTTGAGATATATCAGTGATTTGTTATCAGAGTAGTCCTTGTTTGTGGTACAGAGCTATCCTGCTTATAGCAGATCTGCATGATATCTTGCCCAATATAAAACACATCTGATGTTACTATCAACCTAGCATCATATCAAATCCCCACGACTGCAAGAAAAGTAAAAACCCTTCTTAGATGAGAAAGAGCAGAACAAAGAGAC